TTGTAACAATATATTAGGAGCCTTGTGTTACATTTTGAAGCTTTTTTACCCAAGAATAAGATTTTATTGTAAAATATTGAAAATTTCAAATGTCTATACATAACTTAAAAAAATTTGAAATATTTTGAAAATTCAATCATGTATAGAAAATGTCATGATAAACATTCAATGAAAATTTCATGTGTCTACATGAATTTATTTTAAAGTTATCCCAAAATCTAAAATAAATTTTCTCAAAAATTAAATTTTGTGAAAAAACTACCATTTTTCCTTTTAAATTTTTTTTTTTTTTTTTTTTATTCGGTGGTTTTAAAAACTACTGGGAATTTCAAAATTCGCTCTCCTAAATACACCAACTAAATTAACTTTCCAACTGGAAAAGCTACTGAAGTTGAAAATTGAATTGAAGCATTATTTCGACAATTTATCGTATACACTGCAGACACAAAAATAAACACACACCCAACATTGTAAAATCAATACATTAATCGCTCCGTTTAGAATCTAAAATGRTAAATATCATTTTTTTTTTTTTACCTTTAAATAATGCAAATAACCACCGACCTATATATTTCTAAATTTTGATTAATCTGTGTGTAATTTTCCCATACATTGATAGAAATATTAATAGATTTTGATGTTTTGTGGTTTAAAATGTTTATTATTATATCTGTTTAGGTAATTTCTTCGTGGCTTTTATAGTGTTTTCAGTAGGTATACAGTATACAAGTTGAAAATATTATACTACTTAATGCGAAAAACACTCAAAAAAGGTAGACCGTATCAGATATTTTCATTACAAATATTTTCCACGAATTATGTGTCCTGTGCAGGATACATTTTACTGAACATTCAATATAATAATATTATATAATATATAGTTTCCTATTTTCCAAGAACTTTTGAACGGTTGATTCACACTTAAAGATATTATAATACAAACATAGTTGACAAGAAAGTTGATATGGAGGCCACAAAAATAAAACGAGATTCTTGGAGGAGAGGGCTTAAGAAGATCAGGACTGCAATCGCTGTAGGTATATATAGGAAACGTTTCAGGTGGTTTATGTTGGTGATGCTTAAAATCATTATGTTTTGAAGCTAGGCATACGTGGAACGGACGGATGCAAAGTAGAAGTAAGAGTAGGGATGATATCGGAAGGATTTCAAAAAAACTTAAAACTTGTGATGTGCAAGACTTAGTGCACGTGAGAATTCAAAACATACTATAACAATCATTTTTGTTTACGAACTGAAAGTGCCCTGTGTTTCGTGATGACTGTGAAATTCAATATTCTCAGCATTCACGTTTAATCGTGCGGGTCTTTTGAGTAGATAATATCTATTTAATTTTGGTGGAAAGTAATTTCACGTAAGAAAAGTCACACCCCATTTTTCCCTTATAAATGAATTTGTACAAATTTTGGTTTTTGGAATTTTTGAGTAGACTACACGAGGACTAAACTTAAAGATTAATAATGATATTTTAAACGATTCTTCATTTATTTTCATAAATCATAATATGATTTCATGTATTTCTTATCATACCTAAATACATAATATTTAGACATAGTAAAGCAAGTACTGAAGTACCCCTAAATATCAACAAATAGTATATCTATATTTTAACTATTATTGTTGAACTTAGTTTTGTATCTCTTACTCTCTTACGTGACAGGTACCAATCAAATTCTACAGCACTGCTACTATTATGATATTAGAACCTTTGTGATAAATACTATGACGATGTTGCCATTTATCAGCTGTTTTCAATAATTAATTAAGAATTTATGTCTCGTATTTTGTTTTATTGCATTAACTTGATATTTAATTAGATTTTCTTAAGTTAACTATAGTTTACAAACATGATACATAATATGACACCGAAAATTTTTCGTTATTCTCAAGTTTTTCTCTCCACGAATTTTCGCCAAGTTATGCTCCTAAGAATTGATCAACCATTAACCTAACCATTGCTATTTTGGTTCTCCAACTAGCAACATGCTTATTATTAGTATAAAACAATTGTAAGCTACAAATGTAGGCTTTTGTCTTCTAAATTTAGTTTTGAAGAAATTCTACATTCATTTAATCATATTTTTGTTTTTATTTTATCTGTATAAACCAAATGTTAAATGGAAATGATTCTATATTTTGTTTCAACGTTATACATTTTTAGTCTCCTCTTATTTCTTGCAGATTGTATTAACTTGCATAAATATTAATTCGTATTTTTCCTTTGAGACTTATATTATTTTTTTTTATGTATAATGTATGTACAATACACAATTTATTATAAAGCGAGACTGAGTAGTTATGAACTAATTTGAGAGTGTGTAGCATATAGTTTATTGATTTTTGTGCTTTTAATGCGTCAGAATGCTGGTAATTTGATAACAATAGTGTTATTTTTTATGATCGATAAATGAATCTGGAATTATTACAACGATTTATTTAAATATATATGATGAGCGTTGGATATAGATTTAAAAAAAAGTTATTTAAAGAGTGGAAATGATTACGTTTTAAACACATTTTCCAAGATAAATTTACAATTTAACAGTCAATATTTATAATGTTTAGAACAATAGTATGATTTTTAGCTCATGGATGTATTAAATTATTGTATTGAATAGGTAATAGAAGTGGGAAAAGTAAAAGACCTAACCTAACCAAATAATAAAAAAAGTATTTTAAATTTAATATCACGCTACAAGTGACACGTAGCAACCTACCTACGTAAAAATCCATTGATATTTTTTATTTTACCTTCATATAGTATAATATTAARAAAACGTAATTTGATAGATACACATTACACACCGCATAACTACTTAATATTATAATTTTCATGAGTAGTTTCCGTTGTGAATTAAAAAATATAATTAAAAATGATTCCCTATGTATATTATAATTTATAACCCAACTCGTTGCTGTTGTAGGAGTACTAGACGATTAACAGGTGATAATATCATGTCCTAGTTGGGATTTGTGAGTTAACGTAGTGTCTTTTATTTTTCTAGAGAGAAATGTTTCAAAGTATCTGTCATAGTTTATTATAAACGATTTATAAAAATATATCAATTAACGTATTTGTAGAGATGTACGTTTCTAATGAATTTTTGCTTCTATTGTTTCCTGCAATCCAAGCGCTATTTACGTGTGCAATTAGCACGTTTTACTGCAAGTGTGTTTTACAAGTGTATTTTTTTTTTGTATTTCGTAAAATAAATAACGAAAAATAAACATTGTACATGAAGTGCAGAAGCATCATTAAACGAGTACAAAGCTATAAGCTACGGTTCATTAGTAGCGTCTGCCCATTAGTGCGCGTAACTGGGGTTACATATTTCACTCAATGTGAGTTGTGACCAACCTCAGGGATTCGAGATTTTGTTGAGACTTATTCGATCAGGTGATGTTTATTATATTTTCCAGAGCCACATTATGATACACTATACATGTGTTCGTACAATKTTCAACAATTATTTTGTTAGAATGTTAAATCTTGAACTAAGCCATTTATATATTGACTACCACGGACACAACGGTATTTTCATCAACGATCAGTAAAAAAAAAAATCATAATAATAAATATTATCGTAATTTGATTTTACAATATTTTTATAACAATTAAAATTATTGTATAAAATATTTATTTATTTTTTGTTTTTATGCATTAACTCAATGCGCAACTAATAAAATCATTGCTATAATGTAATAATATGATAATAATAACTAATACCTATTTTTATGATTTTCAACTATACCAATAATTTTCAAAACCGAATATCTATCTATTGTATGTCGTCCTATCGGCTATCATATATTTACTTTGATCATTATCAGTTATCTACAGATCTATATTATACGTAAATAATATAACTGGGGCATATTATGTGTGTTAAGCATAGTGTAATTTATACGTGCAATAGTACGGTTCTATAAAAAAAAAAGTTGCTTTTAATAGAATCATGGACAGATTTTTTAATCATCCTTTATTATTATAATTACAATTTATTAATACAGATTAAACATAATGTTATACATTTTTGAAAACGAAAATTACCATAGATAAAAGAAATTATCCAACAAATAATTGCGTCACTTAAGCATCAAGTAATTCAATTTTTAGGCTAATCTAATAACCTATTCTAAAATTACTTCGTTGTATTGTTTTGTTTAAATAGATCTTAATTTACCTATTTGATTTCGGTAATGCCGTGAAAATTATAGGCTGTCATGAATATCATTATGATTTTGTTTAGATTTTTGATTCTAATAAATGGTTGATTCTATAAACCAGTGATTAAATTTATCGGATATAACTCACAGTATGACATTATATTATTTCGTTTATACAAAGTTAAGCATCAATTAACCACAACCCTCTACTGTCAACTGACCATCCACTTAAATTGACATAGAACATGAGCTTATTTAGCCCATGTGATCTTAAGAGGATTCTACACAGACATATTTAGTTGTCTCCGTCTACAAGCGCGAAAAATACCAAATTTACGCACAGYAAATCACGTTTAGCTTCGTTAGCTTAAAAATTATACTAAATCGACATAATAATAATATAAAAMTTGATGCTAAGAGCATTARCTATGTTTGTATGTGAAGTTTTTCACGATTCTTCAATTTTTAAAAACATAGATAATGCTCTTACCATCAAATTTCATAATAGATCGAATCGGTCTAATTCTTAAACTAACGAAACTAAACGTATTCTACTATGTTTAAATTTGTTATGTTATTCACTTGTAAGACAGAAACAACAAATAACTGCGTAGGATCCCATTAAATTGACCGTATTGGCCAATAGTGTAATGYATTTATCTTTGTAATCAAAACGGAAGAAAATAGCCAATTTTTGTCATAGTCTCTTTAATCTACCCCATTTATCCACCTATTGTTATCATGTGTAAATTATATGGTGTCTTTTATTTCATTGTATACTTATAAATTATAATATATTATTATTGCTTATGTAGCCGGACAAAGAAGACAAGCTGTTCGTTATCAAACCGATMCCGACGGTAAACGTCAAGCCTGTGATAATATTTATAAACCCAAAGTCTGGCGGCAACCAGGGTGTTAAGCTGCTGCAGAAATTTCAGTGGCATCTAAATCCCAGGCAGGTGTTTGACCTCAGCAGGGGTGGTCCTAGGATGGGCCTGGAACTGTACAAAAAGGTTCCAAACCTCCGGGTGTTGGCATGTGGTGGAGACGGCACCGTCGGGTGGGTGCTGTCGATCTTGGACCAAATAGCCAACGCCGTGTCGTTTCCAGTGGGTGTGTTGCCGTTGGGTACGGGCAATGACCTGGCCAGAGCTCTTGGTTGGGGTGGCGTAAGTATTTAAACAATACTATAAATTATAATAGATTATAATATTACGTGCCCAAAGATATACAGYGTCTTAAATACAAATATCTTATATGTTATTTTACATTTGCCGTATTTCCAAATAATTTTTCTTTGGTATATCTTATTTTTTTTGTTTTCCTCAAGATACTATATACATATACGAATGAAAATATATTTCTTTTGAAAAATTAAACGATTACAGCTAGGTACCTTTTTATTAAAAAAATATTATTATTGATTCCAAATAATAGTGACATTATGGTGTATGATTGTATGAGTATATAGGCAAACCCAGTTAAAGGTTACAGAAGAATTAGGTTCTGGAGTTTATAGATAGTATAGTTATATTTCTTGTAAGCTAAGTAAATATCATTAAAGTATATTACTGATCTTCTGATCTATCGACTATCATCTATTTTAATTTCTATTATAATTATTTTAAAAATAYATATCTTACAACCAAAAGTAAAAAAATTGATGTAACAATGTTTCCGAAATTCTGAATGTACCTTAACAATTGGCTAATCTAGTATTTATTATATTTCGATACTTTTGTCTCAATTATTTCTCCCATCCCTTATTACATCTACATATATTGACTAAACCCATGTGTCAACCTTGCGATTTATTTCGAAACAATCTTATGTATAACCRATAAATATACCTAGCGTACCAGTCTAAAACGTTGTTTTCATTTTTTTTTTATACGAACGAAATCGTCTCGTTTCGAATCAATGCTGAACCTAAAAGTGAACTTTATATATTATATACCTGTAGCCTGTAGGTATTGATCGTGTATATTATCGCAGAGATATTCAAACTTTTTCAGCACGCGGCTTCTTTGGGTGTTCACAATATTTTTACGGTTCCCAAATTATTATGAAATAATTGAAACAACAACGGATACAATATGGGAAATATGTTATATGCGGGTGATAATAACAGTGACCTTAGCACTAGAAATAAAACTTCAAATGGTCGGGTAGTAAGGTGTGTCGTTTTTATTTCCATAATGATTGCAAATAATATTTATAATAATTATACAAGATCTATGATGTTGGTTTTCGGTGCTTTGACGCGCCTCCCTTTGCAAAATCTCGCGACGCCCCTGGGAGCCGCGACGCACAGTTTGAATACCTCTGTATTATCGATTAAACGCCATTGGACGTTTCATGCTGGAATCTTACCCTAAGCCGGATGCACATATATTTATCTATATTTGACCGTGAAAACAACAAAAAAATACATTTTTTATTTCTCTACATAATAATATTGTGTAAAAGTACGATCTGATTCGTGATGTCATTGTTTATTTTAACTAACTACGATCTAAAAATAATAATTCAAATATCATACGCATTCATCTTTATAATAAATGAATATTTTCATTCCTATTCGTTGTTTAAAGATTCTAAATCTAATTATCTTCCAGGGTTACATGGATGAGCCAGTGTCGAAAATATTGACAAACTTGGAAGAAAGTGAAACGATCCTGTTGGATCGCTGGAACTTGGAGGTGGTACCCAACGAACAGGTTAAAGGGACGGACCACGCGGGGAAAGACAATTTGCCATTAAACGTGATGAATAATTACTTCTCGTTGGGCGTAGACGCTCAGATTGCACTTGAATTCCACGAAGCCAGAGGTAATAGTGATGATATTTATACCTGACACAGATCTTGATCGTGTTAACTTTTTTTGGAAATGTAGCTTGTTTAGTACACCACACCGTCTCTTTACAAAAACATTTGTTAATTTCCGTTTAAAAAGAGTATAATATAACTACCGTTACCGTACCACACGAATCGCATGTCTTGTACTATATGATACTTATAATGTCCTACAAATATTAACTTTTTTTCAACACGCTGTTAGTTCAATTATGAACCTCATTATTTTAGTTTCTTTATTAAACTAAACACGTGGATCTACGTACATGTTATATCCAAGAGAGAACATAATATATTTTTCAAGTTAATTTGAAATATAAAATGTAAGCAAATTTATATTCATGGTTAAACATATCTATAATTAAAGTAAAAAATAATTATTAACTATGATTGGTTTATTTTTTTTGAATCACTGTGTACAATGGTTTTGAATACAAATAAATAAATATTTCTTAATTCAATAATTTAGTTCACAATAATCGTATAAACTAACTCTCCTATACATTTACGATGCACTTTTAACAAAATATTTAGTTTTTGATTTATAAATTATAAATCAATTATTTTATTTTTAATCGAATTAAGTTAGTATTTTTTCTTGATATAAACTTTGAGTTTCTAGAGTAAAGTATAAGGATAGTTTTTTTATCGTCAACTTGTAGGTTGCAGACTACTTCGAATTAATTCGAATAACTTAAATCAATACTGTTTTTGATGCCTATGAATACATCACCCTTTATATAGGTATTAATCAATAACGTAATAATAACACAAGAATAAAAATTCATAAATATTAATATTAATGTGATCGTTCCAGAGGCAAATCCGGAGAAGTTCAGCTCACGGATGTACAACAAATTGTTTTACGGTGTCCGGGGTGGTATCGAGCTGCTGGACCGGAAGTGGAAAGGCTTGTCGGATCACATGACGCTGGAGTGTGACGGCAAAGATCTGACACAGCGAATCAAAGACTTGAAAGTGCATGCCATATTGTTTTTAAACATACCCAGCTATGGGGGTGGCACACGACCGTGGAACAAGTCAGCTGGCAACAACTCTACCGACGACGGGCTCATTGAAGTCATCGGCTTAACGATCATGCAAATAGTGAGCGTTTTCGTGTTTACTAAACATAATATTAGATCCAACGGAACTCAAACGGTTATTTACTTACCTGCCGGCAGTTCGCGTTTCACTTACCGAAAGATTGATTTTTAATTAACGTTGCGAGGCCCCGTCGTAATAGTACACCACGCCCGATTTTTGTCCGCAGTGTTTGCCGATCACACAATAGCCAATTGAATTAACGTCGTTGAACATAACACAATACATAAACAAAACGTTTAAAAGTCTCTTTCGTAATAGATACCACGCTAAACTGCCGGCTAGTTCTTTTTGCGTAATACGTACTCAGCATTATCCGAAATCGAAGGCATTTTCTAGGGATCTCCCGYTGAAAGGCGCATTTCTGTGCAAACAAATCACGTACCAAACTTTAGTTTGTTATTTTAAACAAATATTCAACGCTCCATAAAAACGACAATGCGTCGAAAATAATTAATTTGTCTCTGGCGTATCGAAAGATTCAGTTGTTCCATGCGATATAGATAAAATCTACACATATTATTGCATACAAAATAAATAAATGGATAACTGCCGCCTATAATTAGTTAGTACGCAGAATGATATGTGTGCCCGAARAATGTGCTAGATATCATGGTAAGCTGTGGTTTTCATAATATTATGGTTATTATGAGTTTAAATCACATTTACAGCTACGTCTTGTCGTGTACTCGTATCATGTTCAAAAGTTGAGCTCAGCTCCACTCTGTAAAAATGTCCCTATAAATCAATGATAATTAATAATACCATGATAACAACGGCCAATCAAAACACGATACAAGCCACATCATGGCACTACAGACAACGTATAACTTAGTAATAATTTCTAGTGATAAAATTGATACTATTTTTTGTTGATGTTAATATTATTAATACCTATCACCATATTTCAATAAGCATTGTTAGCTATATGATAACTAACTGTTCTCTCTTCGGTCACACATTATATTTGGTCTGTACATTTCTTTATTGACTGATATTATTCCGGCTGTTTCGTCTTGTCTTGTCGTGAATTAAAAATTAAAAATACTAGGTTTACCTGCAACACTTATCATGGTGATATATCTACTATTCACGTGGTCAAAACTCAGAGCTAACTACATCAGTTGTTTTTATACTGTTTAGACGAGATTGCAAACTGGAGGGACAGGAACACCGTTATGCCAATGTAAAACCGCTCGCATAACCACCAGCATATCGGTCCCCATGCAAGTAGACGGCGAAGCTTGCCGTTTAAAACCATCGGTGATCACGCTGGGATTTTTCAACCAGGCAACAATGATGGCGAAACGGCGGAAAGGCAGACAGACACCTACCCGGTAAACTGACAGCTATTCGGGTTGAGATAACTCAAMGTTGTTGACATGATTATGATAACATCGTTGGTTTTATAATTTTTCAGCGAGACAACTATAGAAAAACACAAAGTGTCTGTCCAAAGACTGAGGCTTCAAGATTACGAACAACACCACTGTGACAAAGAGT